TTCTGTTATGTTGTGTAGGTAGAGTCTGTGTGATGTGCCGATCCCTCATCCAAGGAGTTCTACCAGTTGTCTTTTTGATTCATAGTTTTAGAAGTTAATCCAGAATTTGAAGGGGTCACAGGGTCCAATCCGTGAAGGTTAAAGAAAAGGAAGAAGAAGATACGCCCAAACAAAGTTCTCCTATGTGTATATCTGCTCGCCCCAGTTGAGCCGTCGACCGTCTCTTTGATCTACTGTCAGAGTTCCTGGCTAGATCCAGAGGTCCGGTTCAATTCCAAACAGGGCGAGTTTTCTCTCCACAGCGACAAGATTGATTCTCGGGCCCGCCCAGCCTCCTATCCAATGCGTACAGAGGTCGTTTTACCCGGGGGGGGGTAAGCAAAGCGGCCGGGGCGTGAAGCTGACCACTCACCTCCACCTAGTGTTGAGGTCAAGAAAATGTGACTATACATCCACTCCCCAATATGTCTTCATAGCATAATGCCTAATTAATTATGTACAGAGACAATTTTACCTTTACTTTATGGTGATGACATGTAGTTAGTCATTATTATTAAAATTTATCATAATAAATAAGGTATGAGATTTTGTATTGGATTGCAGTAGTAAAGATAAGAGGTAAAGTTGTCCCTGTGCTTAACTAATTAATCACTACGCCATGAAGGCGTATGGGGGAGTGGATGTATAGAGCCACATTTTCTTTACCTTAGCACTAGTCAGAGGTGAGTGGTCAGCATCACGCCCCGGCCGCTTTACTCCCGGCGAAAGAGCTCCAAGTACCAATTGGATAGGAGGCTGGGTGGGCCTTAGAGCCGGTCTGGACGACGCGGAGAAGAGAAAATTTTTGACCCTACCAGGACTCGAACTCCGACCCCTCGGTGAGCCAGTAGCTATACCGACTGCGCTACCCTGGCACCTGGACTGCAGTGGTTCAAGATAGAATCCAGGGGTGGGCTCTTGTGAAAACGGTGCTGAACATTCACATTCCATACAAAGCGGAAAAGTTGACCAGCTGAGCGACCTCCATTCTTACAGGACTGGATGTGTTGTATGAAGTACAGTAAAACCTGTCTTAAACGGAATCTGAAGGAACCAGAAAACATTTCTGCTGAAGCCAGGTTTCCGTTTAATAAAGGGTCCGTTTAAGGAAGGTTTTACTGTATATGGTTCGCAGAAACTGTTCTGCTTGAGAGGGTTCAGCCACACCGCGTACCGATGTACATCCATAAGAACTTCATTGCATTTGTTTGTTTATATTTCCGTCAGGTCTCTTGAGCAAATTTATATTAGCAGGTCTATTATTTGCTGTACTTTATTTGTGGACCATGATTTGGGAACACAGATAAGGTACATAATTCTGATCTGTGTCTGTATTTTTCTTTGGTGAAGGAGAACTCTCTCTACAGCGGACTGCTTGTATACGGTATCATTTGTTTTGTCAAGCGTTTGATGTCAGGCCATCAACTACACACCTAGTGGGAGGCCGAAAAGGTCTTGCCTACAGTTTGCTTTCCGCATAATGAAGGAGTAAGGTGGCAGTAAGGTCGTCTGTCGTTTGTTATCCCCATCAAAATGTTTAGTGGGTCTCTCTAACGGTCCCTGTCTAGTCGTTACCTTAACGACTTCAAACGTAACTGAGGACAGCGCAGAGCCAGCGTTTCAGATTCTTGCAGTGTTTGTAGTTGGGTTTCATACAGTTTGAAAGTGACAGCGAGATGGAACGCGGTAAACATGGGTTTTCTCTCCTTTTGCAGTCATCATGACACGATATTTGTCATATATTATTGCTAGAGTTTTATACAACAGCAACAGCCTGATATGCGTTATTTTCACATGAAGAATCTGTTAGTTTGGTGGACGTAGAATCGATTATGTACTTTTTCATGCCTGTAGACTATACTCGTATTTGATGCTCAGCCTGTGCTGAAGGTTAATGTAACGTAGACTGTCAGGCCGCCCCATAGCTCAAGCTGTTAGTCGCTGGCTTCCTAACGCGACGGCCCGGGTTCGATCCCGGGTCTTGTCAAGTGGGATTTGTGCTGGACACAGTGGCGCTGGGACGGGTTTTCTCCGAGTACAACGGTTTCTCCTGCCAATCTTCATTCCACCAGATTCTCCATCATAATCACTCGGGGCAGGCTACAATAGGTCAATCATTGGCCGCCGTGCCGAGTGGACCCAGTTGGACTCCACCCCCCACTAAGCGAATCGTAGACTGTCGAAAAGGTCATTGAACTGTTCATGCCTTGTAAGATTTGAGGTTTCCACGTCGGTGACAACGAAGAAAGCCGTCTTTTGGGATGTGGCTCCGTGTAGGTGTTGTGTTAACCGACGTTTCGGAAGAACGTATTTTTATACCCAGAAGATGGAGGCGCGATACGTTCCTCAGAAACGTCAGTTTACACAACACCTACACGGAGCCACATCAAAATTTTCATGTTCTTGTCTTCTTCAAGGAACGCAACAGTCGATAGATTATAGACGTATATCTTGTGATTTTACAGTTTCTAGCTTCACATAAATTGGGCGATGTCTGTAGCTGTTATCAGCCTTCACGCAACAATGAGCAATGATTTAGGGGAAACGCCGTGCTAAGCGAGTTACAGGAGACTAACAGGGTTTCAGGGGGAAATTCTTTGTAGATGGTGTTTTCTGTACTGGACACGTACTTCATGAAATTAAGGTCCCCGCCATATCGACAAGAGTCAGCAATGGAATATACACGTGTACGTCATGTTTCAACGCTAATGTTGTTTCAGGAGTATAAGCCTGCATGTGTCACACAACCGATGCGCTTTCAACATTCGACGACTGCTGGTGTTCCCACTTCTTGCTAGTTTGATGTTTATGTGAGAGTTAGTATTTATTACACACATCTGTGCACTTTTTTAATTGCTACTTATCATATCAGCGCCTTAGAATATAGAGTTTTCTTTATATAAATAAATACGGCATAAAGTCTGCAATGTTGTAAAGAAGTTCAACGTTCCCCAATGATCCACGACATGGGTTACTCTCGATCGCCTGCGACCTGGCGTAGATCTTTATATGTGTAGCTCAGTAACCAGTGTTACTGTCTGTCGTACGTCTTTCTTCATTAATTATTATATCGTGACATGTAGACCCATTGCTAGGGAACGACTCCGTAAACAAGCCCGCAACAAAATCCGCAACCAACAACAGACGAGAACCATTTCTAGGCAACCACCGCGATACACGCATGCAACAATAGAACCGGTGTTGCAAGAGATGTCTTCTGTGGGGTTCGCATATATCCATTGCTAGGCAACGGATGTGTATTTTGTGCTGTGATCCGACCCGAGGCTATGTAAAGACCATCCAAAAATAATTGACAGTTCACATACCCGTGTGGAGGCGGGGTCGAATACCTCCACCGTAACCCTGTGAGACGTAGGAGGCGACGGAAAGGGAAGTCTCAAATCTGAGATAGTAAAATATGGTCGCGAGTCCCAAGGGACTCGGACCCGAGGAAGACTGCGCTGGCAAGGACCAGCAGCGTATACAGAAGACACCCATCCTCTCGTCAGAGAGGGCGCCCCACAACAGATACAAGACCGTAACTGTCAAAGCTGGGGCTCGACACCTAGACTTACTGACGGAATGACCGACCGTTGATTACAAATTCCACTCACAAGACGATTTTTTCCTTCAGTTTGGAAGGACTTTAAATTAATCGATCCAGTTTACTGATACTCCTTCCAGGGGTCAGGTTTAACATTCTCGCTTTTCAGTATATCTGCTGGGTTATACCTCCGTGTAGTCCTTTGAAAATCAAGTGACGTTTCGGTCGAACATGTCGCCACCATCTTCAGGACCGAAGAAGAGCTTGCTGCCTGCTTCATGCTGGCTTCTTGCTTGGATTATAACATGTTTCTCTAAACGTTGGTGGACATGAACCGGACTAATGGACGTTATAACACAAAAGATAGAACTCTTCATAACTACCGGTGTGAGAACCTCATAACCTATTCAGGGAATAAGATTATTTATGCCTTAAAATAGCCTTGAACTCAGCTACCTTATTTTTAAATATTATTTATAAGAGGGGGCACGCGTAGCGTATAGTCCATTCGCGGAGACGAGACAGCGTAAACAAAGCAAACCCCGCGTCGCCACAGCTGACAGCAAGGAGTGGAGAAAGCGCGCAGTTACTTCAGTGTACTCACTGCATTCGGACGCACGTTAACCTGCATTCAGACTGAAGAGTGAACTTTAGACGCCCCTGCAATTGTACATGCATCACGTGATCGCTGCATGATTTCATTCAAAGAGCGAAGGAGATACCGCGTGCATTTGTTTACGAGGACTCTCTCGTTTCAGCGAATGGACTGTAGTTGGTTGAGGCACTATGCTGCAAGCCGGAAGGTCGCGGGTCCAAGTCCCGATGATGTCATTGGATTTTTTCAATTAACCTAATCCTTCCAGCCGCACTATGGCCTTGGGGTCGACTCAGCCTCTAACAGAAATGAGTATCAGGAATATTCATGTTGGTAAAGGGCGGCCGGCGCGTAGGACTTACAACCTTACAGCCATCTATGAGCCGATTGTCTAGAAAATGTGGGAACCTCAACATCTCACAACCCTATGGGCCTCCACGGCCTGTTACAGGGATACCTTTGTTTTGCTTTATTTTGCTTGTATTTCTGAGAACCAAGATCTGGAAGAACATTTTGCTCTTTGTGCAACTGGGGTTAATCTCTCAATTCGCAAATCTTGTATAACGGTTCATACATGGCAGACGATGTTCAGGTGAAGCCTGCTTGCACATGATTTCATCCCCCCAGAATGATACAAATTTAGGCTTACAGGTTGCTATTTTGAGCATAAACTGTATGGCAATACCTGATACGGCCTTAAAATAAACGTATTTTCAAATTCTTTTTTTTTCCTTATGTACAAATGTTGAAAGTTATCACGTAAGTTATAAAGTTATAAAGGGGAGCTTTTAGTTAAGTTTTTCTTGTCTCTTGTGTTTCCAGAAGCGACATGCTGCTCCAAAGCCACTGGGTCCTGTCGGAGCGCCTGCGAACAGGTAAGCGGCAAATTGAATTCCTTGACGTTTCACTCTTCATATTACAGCGCTTCGTGAGCCGTCCGTCGTTGGCGAGGATGGATTTTAGTTAAGAGGGGCATCAGTATACTCGCTGGAAGTTAGATCTAAAAGTATATTAATGCAGATATATTTCTGGACGTTATCCATCGTCATGTTTTTATTTGAAACACAACGTTTCGGAGACTGGATCCTGTCTCCGTCTTTAAGTAAAACCTACTCAGTCTCCGGAAGCTTGTGTTTTAAATAAAAGCAGGACGATGGATAATGTTCAGATACACAATAGTTGTATTGCTGGCAGTTGGTACACGTGCCTTCATTTTAGTTGTCCTCTCGTGTTTATCTTCCATCATGTTTGATTCGCCTTTTCAGCCTGTTTGCATACTTTTAAGGAGCAGTAGTTGTTACCGACCGTCCCTGTGATCTAGTGGTCAGAGTTCCTGGGTTTGATTCCCGGCGATATCAGGTTTTATGAGAAATAATGGGTCTGGAACGGGGTCCACTCAGCCTCGTGAGGATAATTGAGGAGCTACTTGAATGGAAAAGTGGCGGCTCCGGTCTAGAAAACTGAAATTAACGGCGTTGGGGATTCGTTGCGCCGACCACGCGACACCCTCTATTCGCTAAAGTTGGCACTAACTTCGCCAACAAGCGGCGGTCACTCGGTCGGTATAGTTCGCTTGCGGACTCAGGCCACCGAGTTCAGTTTTTTAATAGTTGTTACGGGGCCGCCATATCAGTATGTCTGTCTGTGTGCGTTCCTCACCTTTAATAAATTTTGAACTAATTGCAATTCGGTGTGATAGTCGTGTCACTGGAGCTCACCTGATTCTGGTTCCGCACCTTCAATAATACGGGCATACTAGCAGTGTGAACATTTGAGGGATGGACGAGTGTGGCACCACTTTGACCAATGCAAGGACCCCTACATTTTATGGTAACAGGTCTAGGAAAAGATTATAATTTTTGTTTGAATATTTTATGTAGAATGTGGAACAGTAACATGTTGACAAGATGAATCTGTACGCCTGTTTACCCACCCGTTTGGCAACAGTAATTAATTGACTGCTGGAATTGTCTGTGGCTCTACAGTTTTTTGTTGGACTTTGTCCGCTTCTTCAGTTTCTTAGTCCCATACATAGTCTGTAGTACTCCTTGCAAGGGGGATCAGCCCGTCGCATGGCCTATTCCTACACACAGGACAACACAAACAGAATAAACGCATACGGACATCCATGGCTTGAGTGGGTTTCGAACCGCGATCCGAGCGTTCGAGCGAGCGAAGACGGTTCGTGCCTTAGACCGCGTGGCCACTGTGATCGGCTGACTTCAGGAAATAGGCATCTGGAGAATCTGGATAATGTGGACCGATGTTTATGTATAAAGTACGAATATGGCAAACCTTTTAGGTTATAGGCCTATCCGACAACTTAAGAGGACGCAGGCAGACAAAATGATAATGTAACCCTATCATCACTTATAAAATTAAGACAGTGCCCTAATTATACTTGTTTTCTTCGAGTCGTCCCTGTAATTTCAGCCAGGGTTTGAACTCGTAACGTCCCGCAGCTGTGAAATAGATCGTCAGTGTTTAATTACTTGCGTTTCGCCTATATCGTGTCACGTGATGAACTTCAGGGGTTCATCGAATATCTACTGTATCAGCTCACCGTTCCATCTCTTCTGTTGGGTTTTCAATAAAACTGCACAGTGGGGGTTAGTTTGAAACTCGAATTGTTTTTGGCTTCATAGTTAACGAACTTCATGGGTTTATTGGACCGACAACACTAATTGGACTTTTTTTTTTTTTTTTGCGGTTCCCAATATAAGTACGTCATGTTCACTTAGTATGGAGATTAAATTTCCAAGTGGATCAATACGCATGTGCTGTACAAGTGAAGTGTCATAATTTAAAGTAATTGCCCATGTATGTCTGTTAGTAACAAGTTCGCACGAACGTCCAGTGCAGATGTAAGGAGTGCAGTGTCCTGATAACATTTTGTGAAGTTTGCCGTGACGTTGAAATTATTTTTTTTTAGCCTGCTTCTTTTTATAACGAAAGAGCGACTGAGGAAATGGTAATATCCTTGTATATGTCTTTCTGATAATTTATAGATTGAAATATTTAAGTAACATTTCTTTGGAAAGCGATGCCTTATGAATGTACTCAACGTCAGCTATTTTAATCATTTTGTAAATAAAAGTAAGTAAATGTATCCCTGTAACGGCCCGTGGAGGTCCATAGTGTTGTGAGATGTTGCGGTTTCCACATTGTCTAGACCTAGGGTCTCCAAACTACGGCCCGCGATGTTATTTTATCCGGCCCGCGAAAGAATTGTGCAGAAATGCGCCAATTGAACTAAGTTTCCAGTGAGTGCTGGTAAATGTGATTCCGAGCTTATTGACCTGACATATTATACTGCAGTTCGATGGCTTAGCTGTGGAAAGGTCCTTTCGCGCTTCTTTCAGCTCAGGAATNCTTTGTTCATATGCTATACTGTGCAGAGTTGCATAAAAAGGATGAAGCAGAATTTCCTTCCTCATTTGCAAATATAGTCATTTCAGATTTGAAGGAACAATTTCGGAAGCGAATTCCTGATTTGGATATCAGTGCTCAGGAAATTAGATTGTTTCAAAATCCGTTTGACTGGGATGCTGCAGATGTCCCAAGTCAAATTCAAATGGAAATTATTGAACTTCAGGAAAATTATCATATTAAAGACAAATACAAGGAAGGAAATGTGACCGAATTTTATAAATTTCTGAACTCTGAGCAATTTCCAAATTTAAAGAAATTTGCTTGTAAATTTATCTCCATTTTTGGGACGACATATCTGTATGAACAAACTTTTTCCCAGATGTAGTACATCAAGTCGAAATACAGGGCAAATTTATCCGATGAACACTTAAAGTCGCTACTTGTGATTAGCGTTTCAAAATTTGAACCTCAATTTAATCAGATTTTAAGAATGCAAAAAGATTTCCATCATTCACATTAATTGTTTTATTATAATTTGTGATGAAAATATGAGCATTTTCTGCTACTGTCTGTTGTCATTAATATACGATAATATATTCTCGCGTACCTTCTATTTAGCTTATGAAATTCTGTGCTTTCAATAAAACTCATATACCTAGAGTTATTAATTTCTCATTTTGTCCGGCCCGTTGAAAGTGCTGAAATACCTAATGTGGCCCGCGGTTCGAAAAGTTTGGAGACCCCTGGTCTAGACAATGGACTCATACATGGCGGTGAGGTTGTCAGCCTTACGAGCCGGCCGCCCTGTATCCCCAAGAATATTCCTGGTACACATTTCTCTTAGAGACTGAGTCGACCCCAGGGCCATAGTGCGGTTGGAAGGATTAGGTAAATTGAAACAAATCCAGTTACCTCATCGGGATTCGATCCCGCGACCTTCCGGCTTGTAGCATAGTGCCTCAACCAACTACGCTACACAAGAATTCATTTCGTACCTCACAAGAAACACATTACGTCTCCACAACAAAGACCAACCGGTTAATGCTGATTAGGGAAACAGGTGCTGTTTATTGTGAGAACCATACGGAAATCACAGGTACAACAATCTGTGGGCAGAATGCAGAGTTTTAGGATTGTAACATGTAGTACCGTCGCTATGCAACGATCGCGACAGGGAACATGCGTTGCTGGGTAACGCTCACAACGGTAGAACGGTGTTTTCTATGTGGTCCGAACCGCGATCATTGCTATGCAACGGCGCGGTAAACACACTTCCTCAACAATAGGCTGTGTTTTCTGCGTGATCCGTTCCGAGGCTACATGAGTCGACCAGCCGAATTCAGTTCAGCGAGTGAGTGCAGTACAGTTAAGGGTTTTATTTTACTTATTTTAGAAATAAGGTACGGTACATTACTAATATATACGGTTCCTCCGGTGTAGGCAGTCTTTATGCCTCTGACCTCTCCGTCAGACAAAGAAGCTGTACAATATGATACATATTTTGGCCTATGTTAATTTATGTTCAGAATTATATCGTCTTGCTCACTGTGCTGGATATCATTTCAATTCCCATGTGAGACTGTGTTTCTTACTGCACCTACTGAATGGTATAGTCGAGGTTTCAAATACGGAGAAGTTTGTTGGAATGCTTTATATGCGGCGTAGAGTCTTACCATGCATCTTAACTCCGTGGTAACTTTTTCATCTAAAGTATTAGTGAGGTTCTCAGTTTTAATCTTGACTGGAAATTGGCCACCCCGGTTGAAGCTTTCTGTCATTTCTCTCATTTCATCCAGGCGACTGCTGGGTTATTCTGTAATAGGTCACGACCTCATCATATTTGTTACTTCATCTAACCGAGCAGATTGATTTAGTGATCACGCTATAGACTTTTATTTACGAGGTACCAGGTTTGAATCTTGGTCGGATAGAGGGACGTTTCGGCACATTGTAATCTGGATGCTGACAGAGTCATAAAATAGCCCAAGACCCTAGAGGGCTGGCCCGACAGAGATTTTCATGGGATCTCTGTCTAAACAACATTAGTTCACAGCAGGCTTCCAAAGTGTGAAAGCCCTTTATGCGCAATGAACTTCCGTGCTCCAAACATACTCCCCGGCACTTCTCAAGCCTCTAGTCCTGTCCGTCAGAAAGAGACAGACAGACAAAGAGCACGTTTCGCAACTGTTTAAGAAACATTAATTTTTTTAACGTTCCAGCATTTTGTTTTTGTTTTGAAAACTGAAGCTCTTTTTTTTTTTGAGAGAGAGAGAGGGGGGTGATGAATTATCATCATATGTATGTTGTCGCCTATATCTTGAGCTGGGGAGAACATCTTTCGGAATTCATTGACATTAGCGACTTAAGGCTCGCCCTGTTGATATAGAAGCCTTCTGTAAATATTTGTATTATAATAGATGAAAATAATTGCCTTTGTTGCTATCTTCGCAGTTCCTAGAGTGAAGTGCGTTGACCTGCTCCAAATGCCTGAACCCTGTTATTA